AGCTATATCTTCGTTTAGGTTTCATTAATTCACGTTAAAAATAGGCATCTTTACGATTTTAAAGCGTTCTTTTTAGCAGTGTTGACGGATTTTTGCCAACTTGTACCAGTCAAAAGTTGAAAAACCGTGGAAGGGCCTACTATCCTGATGTTGTCCCCTTGGAGAACATCAGGACAGTTTAAAAATGTAAGAAGGCTGTTGTTATTCACCTTGGTACGAATAACATAACGACCGACGACTCGCCAAAGACCATTGCAAGTAAATTAGCTGAAGTGGGAAAAACCGATTCAACGCAGCACTGAAGCCCCAAGGATTATCATTTCCGGCATCATTTCCAGGCAAGACACGAGGGTAGGCTCTAAAATAGCTGATACAAACTGTGAAATTAAACCCATGTGTGTAAAAATGAAATGGAAATTTGTAAACAATGACCGACCGGAATGAGTCGTGTCTGAATGGTAGTAAGCTGCACTTAAATAGCAAAGGCTCTGCCTCCTAGCTACTAACTTCCTTAAGGCGTTAAATACTAGTAAGCAAAACATCAAAGAGACCAGTTGGACCAAGGACAACCATCAAAATTTTCGGAAGACCAAAGCTCTTCTTACTTCCTTGATACAAGGCCTTCTATAAATAATTATTCTAATTCCGCTACAAATTCCCATATTGAACTAGATAATAATAGCTAAGTTCATCCAAAAACTCCGACAGATTCACCTAATAGATTTTCAAGTAGAGCACACGTGCAGGCAAATTTGGGTATTCCAGTAACTAGAGGATTTAAAATTGCTTCTATTAATTTGGCCAGCTTGTATAAAAATATTGACCAGCTTAGGATCTATATGCTGTCCAAGACAGTTGATATACTAGCTATTAATGACACTCGTCTTGACAGCTCTATTCAAAATGGTGAGGTCAGTATCCCTGGATATACCCTTGAAAGGAAAGATAGAAATAGAAATGGGGGTGGTGTGGCCCTCTATATTAGGGACTCAATAAATTATAAGCGTCTCATTGACCTCCCGGATGATAACATGAAACTGATCAGTATCCAAGAGTCGAAACCGAAAGCAAATCAATTTATTGTGTCCACTTGGTATAGGCCTCAAAGGTCCACCACTGAATTGATGAACAGATTTGAAGATGTACTGCAAAGATTGGACTCATATCATATGGAGGTGGCATTATCGGTGACCTAAATTGTAATGTTGGTGCAACATCACCAGACTGCAGCACGCAAAAACTACTAGAAATCTGTGATAATTAGAAAAGTATACCCAATTAATTGATCAGCCAACACGTATAACACAGCTCACATCATCTATTATTGATTTGTTTTTAACTAATCATCCGTGGAATTTTTCGGACTCCGGAGTCGCCGATATCGGAATCAGTGATCACTGTCTGGTGTACGCAATAAGGAAGATTTGTATCCCCAAATCAAATCCAAAGACTGTAACGAGCAGATGCTTTAAAAATTTTATTCCAGATAGTTTTCGAACTGATTTATCTATGGTCCCGTAGATTCTGATTGAACAGGAGAATAACCCTGACATTGCTTGCGATATATTGCAACATATGTTTTTAGACATTGCTGATAACCATGCACCACTGAAGAAGAAGAGAGCTAGTGAAAGGAATCTCTTCCCCCTGGATTACTCCAGAGCTAAAAAGGCTTATGTTTCAAAGAGACAAACTCAATAAATTAGCCTCAAGGTTCCCAACAGATGGCAATTGGACTTCTTACAAACAAATGAAGACTAAGGTTAATTATGAAATTAAGAATTCTAAAATGAACTATTACAATGCCTTTTTCAAAAATAATCGCAGAAACATAAAGAATACTTGGAAAGGAATTAATAGACTAATTGGAAATGAACCTAAATTTAATAAGATAACTGAGCTGGACACTGGGGATACTGTAAGTACTGACCTCATCGAAATCAGTGATATACTTACAGTGAAACCGGTTGTTCATTGATTGGCAGTTTGCTTCGAGCAAGTTGCGATTCAAATTTCAATTTGCTGCCTGAGCAAACGGTTTTTCATATTGGAATATTGTGAGTTGACTGCGATGGCAAGCAACATTACCTCTGTTTCAAAGAGGGAAAAAGTAATTTCCCTCTGGTCGTCGGGCTATCAAAATAAAGAAATATGCTCAAGGCTTCATCTTTCACATCAAGCCGTCTCCAATATCCTTTCAAAGTTCCTGCAAAATGAGACGGCGGCTCGGGGAAAACCAGGATGGAAAGAACGCACAATCGCTACTCCAAATGTGGTGGAATTTGTGGAGTATTGCAAGGTTTTTAAACCAAGCACACGAACTTTTGAAATACAGCAGGGCTTCCTTGCCAACGCCATATGCACTCCAGCTAATCTCCCCGCTCGCTCAACAATATCCGATATTGTAAGACAGGACTTGCAATTCACGAGGCAGCAAGTTGAAATTTGAGCTCGCAACTTGCTCGGAGCAAACCGCCAATCAAAATACCAACATTGCGTGAGAATATTGCAAAGTGGCGCGCAAACGAACAACAGGTTTCACTGTAACACACATTTCTCCAAAATAGGACCTTCCTTAGCCTCTGAAATTAAAGATACATCCAGTAATTTTACTGATTATATTACCCCCGCAGAACACATTTTTAAGTTGACGAAAGTATCATGCCAGGAGGTCTTCAACTTAATTCAGAAAATACCGAGTAATAAAGCCAGTGGTCTTGATAACATCTCAGCACGTCTCCTAAAAGAAGCGTCTCCCACAGTTACTCGCAGTTTAACTTTTATAATAAATCTTTCAATTACCACTGGAATACTTCCAAATGCTTGGAAACGAGCCAATATTTAAAGAGGACCGCAAGACTGATTCTAACAACTACAGACCTATCTCAGTTCTGCCTGTAGTAAGTACATTAATTGAAAGAGTTGTTTTTAACCAATTATATGAATATTTAAATAATAATAACTTGTTAACTGAATCACAATCTGGCTTCAGACCTATGTTTTCCACTGAAACAGCTTTACTAGAGGCTACGAATGAATGGCTATGGAATATTGACAACAATCTCTTAAACGGTGTGATATTCCTGGACTTGAAAAAAGCTCTTGATACCATGGATCATGCTATCCTACTGGCAAAGCTTAAACTCTATGGGGTCAGTTCTCAATCTCTTAACTGGTTCCGGTCCTATCTATCTAACCGTAAGCAACAAACGTTTATTGATGGAGTTCAATCTGATTTCTGTAATATAACATGTGGTATTCCACAGGGGTCTATTTTAGGCCCTCTCTTATTTACTATTTATATTAATGATCTTCCTTCATGTAATTTGTTTTCAAAACCCAGAATGTATGCAGGTGATACTACCCTTACCTCATGATCTGCAGAAGACCCATGTGTCCTTGAACATAAAATGAATTATGATATGGATTTAATTCAGTCTTGGCTGTCAGCAAACAAATTAACTTTGAATGTTAAGAAGACTAAATACATGCTTATAGGGAGCCAATTTAAGTTATCCCAAATAAATAGTGACTTCACAGTCAAGTCAAAAATACACCCTTAGAAAGAGTAATTTTTTGAACTGGCGCTCACACATTAATACCATTTCAAAGAAAATATCTGCTGGTATTGCTATCTTAAAGCGTGTAAGTCATTTTATACCATTTGATACTAGAGTGAATATGTACAATGCACTGGTAATGCCATATTTTAATTACTGTGGTGCTGTATGGGGTAATATCAATAAGGGACTAGCAGACAAACTTCAAAAGATGCAGAATAGGGCTGCTAGAATTCTCACCTTTTCTAACTATGACGTTCGCGCAAGTGTTTTGTTGGATGAGCTTGGCTGGGAAAGGCTAGAATGTGTAAGACTTAAACAGTTGGCTGTGACAATGTATAAAATCCATAATTATCTTTCCCCGTCGTATCTGAGGCGGATCTTTACCAACACCTCAAATGTACATTCACACAATCTTAGAAATTCTGAGTTAAATTATTATGTCCCCAGACCCAGAACTGAGTCTGCAAAAGGGAGCCTACACTACAGAGGATCTGTTCTGTGGAATAAGATTCCCTCAGAGATTAGAAAACTGCCTAGTTTAAATGCTTTTAAAACTTCCATTCATGGGAAAGACTATATTAATACACCATGACTCATTGTAACTCTTATTATTAATAATGATAGTTTCTGTATTTTTAACATTATAGTCAAATAGTTCCTTAGAGTATTTTAGTCTAGTTTTAAACACGATTCCTAGGAAGACCATGTAAAATGATACGATTTCGTGCATAAATAAAGATTGATGATGATGATGATGATGTTGAGAAAGGCGCTGTGATCACAATGAATTATTTCGGGCGCACGCTTTGCAGTCTAAGACGCGTATTTAGCATCAACATTTATAAGAGCTATCGGATCACTTCAATTCTTAACCAGTCTTTAGTCTTTTCCTTTCTTTTCAATCAACGAACATAAGAGCGTACCACTGGCGAAGGCACAGTTCAGACTGTCAACCAAAAGACCTCCAAAGAAGGTAAAACACGACAGTAAACCATCGTTTCCAGGGGATTTAATTTCTGAAAGGTCTGCAATACATTCAAGCACTCTCCATATTCTACGATGGCTTCGCAAACGTTCCTCTACTCCCTTTGTTCTGTCTGCACAATTACATACAGTGTATACTACTATCACAAAGATTAAACGGTAAGCTGACAATAATTCCCACCAGCTGCTTTTTGAATATCCAAAAAAATAACCGGTAAAAATAATCAGAGGCTCCAACATGTCTCTAATGAATTAAGTGAATATATCAATATTTCAACTGTTAAGTTTTCAAAAGAGTTCCTTTGTTAAAAATGCTTACTGAAGCGCTATTTGAATATAACTTGCCAATCTTAATTATTAATTATAATTTATAATGAGATAGCCGTTTTACGGCAGGACCTATGTTACTTCGCTTGATGTAGCTCTGATACTCTGGCTATCCCTCCTTCTAGTTCAGCAAATCAAATCGCACACAGTGTCGCATAATGGCGAGCAAATTTCATTGCATCCATAGGGGTCGCAAATCAAAGTGCATAAAGTGCTGCAAATGCCAGTACAGATCACACTACATATACCACGTTTCACACCTAGGAGAGAAACATTACAGAAGGGCTATGTTATTTGAAGTGGTGATATAAGGTGGCTTACTACGCATACACTTTAGAAGAAAATTATCTTCATTTAAAAATCCTTAAATTTTAAACAACTGATTAGGTCTCGAAATTTGTACCGAAAAGGCAGTTTGCAAACATTGTTGAAATGTTAATGAGAAACAAGCAAAAAAAACCGATCGGTGCCTCAGTAAAGGGGTTAGAGTAGCGGCCTCATAAGCGTGTACAGCGCCCCGAGAGCTTGCTCGCGCGACGCGCGAAGGCTGATTCACGAATCATACGAAATACTCAAGGTAGACACTAAAAAGCTGTCGCACTTTGTAATAACACTTGTCGCACTTTGTAATAAACTTGAAATAGATGGTTGGAGGACAAGTAAACCCAGTAATATGTGTCATCATCGCCAACAACAACAACGACAATAATAATAATAAGTGTTCTCATCAACTTCTGGCTTCAAGATCTTTCTAGGGAAGTACAACTCTTTATATGCGGACGACCTCGATAGAGAGAAAGTGTCTACGCCTATGACAGAGAGAGTCGTTTAAAATGGGGGTTTTTATTAGAATTTCATTTAATTGATTGTTAGTAAAAGTAATTAAAGGTATCCTTCAGGCGAAACGTGATCGTATAAGCAAAACATTTTTAAAGTTTTACTACTAGCACAGGTAACTAGAAAACCTATGATTTCGTTACCTGCGAGGTATTACTTGAGACATATACAGAGATACTTGATTTGTATTTATTACCATTAATAAGCTATACTGTATTTCATAAAACCAAATGAAAATCACAAACTCAGAGCACAACCCGGTGCCACAATCATTGTCATCATCATCATTATCGTCACTATTATTTTCGCACTAAAATGTTCTAAACATTGCATATCACGTCATTGTGCCA